CATGTCGACATGATATGTATATTATGTCGTCTTGACAACATAATTATCTTGACAAGTCGTCAAGTCGAATGGCACTTAGGTGCTTCCGTACATAATAGATACATTTATTCAACACGAATATTTCTGACACGTCTGTGTCCTTCCTCAGCGTAAGTCGTATGAATGAAAAATACAAAATACAATCCGAAAAGAAAAGAACTCAAAGATAATGGGCATGTCCTACCTGAGCAAGTTAACCAATTAACCAATAAACTGTTGGTAACATTAGACAACAATGTTGGCGGTGAAATGGCCTATATTTCCTTGATTGATTTATTATTATATGTATAACTTTTATACTAATTTTTTTGCATCGGGAAGACGAAATTTATTTGTATTTTATGTACCAGTGACAATGTATAAATAAGTACTATAAATGTAAAAATAATACTATATAAATATAAATAAAAATAAAAATAAAAAAATAAATATAAATAAAAATAAAAATATACAGTATAAGATAAGATAAGATAAGCTTTATTGGTTTATTCACATATACAAATACATAAACAGAAATGTTTCTTAAATTTAACATAAACATGTCAACAACAAAAAACATCAAATTGCATTAAAGAAATTGTAACGCAACTACCGGTACTTATTACATAATTTAAATATTATATATAAATATTTTAAATATTAAATATTAATTAAAATTATAGTTATTATTACGAAAAAAATTATTTACAACAAGTTACAACAGCTGAGTCGTGATTTGAATGGTGCTTTCTCAATGTTGCGTATATATATATATATACACATACACACACACACACCCACACACACAAATCTTGGCGCCACCCCTGGTAAGCAGTTAGTTGATTAATTGTAGTGAATTTCGTACTAAGAGTCGAGTAGTTTTCGTTTACCGTTGTGGTTCTGGGGCGGATGCAGGATTTGGCGGTAGGGGGTGCGTGCAAAAATTTAAGGAAATAGTACCTGTAGCTGGCCGGAAATGAGTCAAAAGTATCAGCAATATTCGGCAACCACAAAGATCTTTAGTATGTGTTATGTACACATTAAACTTTGATGTATTTACTTTACCTACTTCAAAGTCGTAAGTCCACAACCATGGTTGCGGGGGGGGGGGGGCGAGGGGAGAAATTTGAGGAGATAGTACATTTAGATGGCCGGAAATGACACTCTTATACAGTAACAATTCACCATTATCACACCATCATTATTTAGTCTAGATGAAGCGCCAGCAAATTACTCATGATCTTTAATCAGGGATTTTCGGCAACAACAGAGATCTAATTAATACAAGTGATGTACCATAGAAAATAAAACTAAAGAAACACTTTCTTTGATGTATTTAACGACCACCTCAAAGCGGTGTGGCCACATTCCAACCCTGGTGGGGCTGAGGTGAGAAAATTTGAGGAAACAGTACCTCAAGATGGAAGGAAATGACAATTTTAAATGATGATCTTTAGCACAGTCGGCTAATCTGGTGGTAGCCACTGTGTGTGATCTCTAGGTCCCCGGTTCAATTCCCATCGCTGCCTCTCCTTGTGTTTCAGCTAGAGGGCTGAAATACAAGTTACAATAGCGCACCGTCTTTCGGATGAGACGTTTACACCGTTGGTCCCGTGTGCATTTATGGCCCATGTGCACGTAAAGAACGCAGTACACTTTTCAGAAAAGAGTTGGGGATTGTCTCCCGGTGTACTGTCCAATCACCACCAGAAGGACCCTACCTACTGGAAATAAGTCTTCTTCTAGACTTTCGCGGGCTATCCTTGGTGTTTATAAACATCAGATGTACTCTGGCTGTACAGGGCGCTTTCGTTAAAACCTTGGTCATTTATGCATTTATGTCAACAATTTTCAGGCATAGGCCTACCTTCTTGACTTTCTTTTTCTTTTATTTCTTTTATTGTTTATCCTGGGGGACTAAAAATACCTGGTCCTCCGCAGATCCCAGCAAAGAAAATAATAAACGGTGAAACATTTCATTAAAAAAAAACATTGAAACACAAAAAGCAGTACGAAAAGTGAGGAGACCAACCCTTCCCCCTTAAAAAATATGTGGCATGTCGTGGCGAAGTGGTTAAGTTGTCGCACAGTCCAGTAGCCTATTAAGTAAATGAGCTATAATATATGGGAGCTCAAAAAATTGCCTAAAAATTCAAATTTGTTTTTCACTATAGATCAACAGTTTAATGTCTTATTAATCATATCCCAAAGTATTAGTTCTGGAAGTGGTTAACAAATTGTTTATTTAACGTTATCTTGATAGTTCATTCTATTAAACAATGTATGCACTAATAACTTTGAAAGGAAATTACTCAAAATCATGTTTATCTTGACTCTAAGAGTACTGTACTTTCACCTTCCAATAACTTAGGCTTGAAATGTCCAATTTGAATGACACCTCATTTTAAAGATCACATACTCAGGTATCTGAAAGTACCAATAGCTTGAATTTCATTTTTTGCTACAACTTAGCCATTTTGCCACAACATACATCCTGTCGTCTGACGGACGACCAGGTCATCGGATCGAAAATTAAAAAAATATATATAATTTTCCTATCCAAGTAACGTTATTTTGATTGCGAATCCCTTTTGGTCTTAAAAGCACATTTTGGACTATAGTAAAGCCATAAAAAAACTCTACCGACGAACCCTATCAAATGATTTTTTTTTAAATTCCAGGCCGTCGACCGAGGCTTCGTCGACCCTTTGGTTCTGACCCCTCCTTCGGGGTCTATACAATTATAACTATACTATTTACATCTGTAGTATTTGAATTCAAGGATTTTTATTCTTCAAAAAAATATTCGCAATTTGTTAAGCCCTGTCCAGACTATCAAAACATGTGACATGCATAAATATGGTCATCACATTACGTCATGGCCATAGGCACATCGACTATTACATGAGCTACAATAAAATGTTATAGTCTGGCAGGGCTTTACCTGTTATTCCACAACAATTCCATCTTGTTAGTCTAATTATCTTTCGTGGATGATTGAAAATTATAATTAAATTAAAATAAATAAATACAGCGTCTTGCATAATAAATAGACATAGGCCTAATATTAATTATTTATTAATTCTCTTTTTTAGGTGTGTGGTCTGTAGTAACAAGTTAAGCTACTGAAGGATGTGATCAACCCGGTCGCGTTAAAATGCAACAAAAAAGGGGAACAAATAATTAATTTCAAACTTTGATAATGCTATTTCTTCATGTACACATTGAGTAATCATAAGTATCCTACAACTATTTTCTATAACCTGTAACTTGACAATATTATTATTATTATTATTATTAGAAAGTAGAGAGAATAGTATCTTAATATGCAAACTGTCGAGAGTGTATATACCTATTGAGGGGTGGGTTTAGGACGGGGCATGTTCCCCCGTTTTGCCACTGCCGGATTTTATTTTATAAATTAGGCTATATTACATCTTGGCTTATATGAAATGGATCCGCCTCTGTATCTATTTGAAGGGTACCTGTTTCCGTTAAATATAACGGTTCAAAGATCATACTGTTCTTCTCCTGTCATCAGGCTCAATCGTTACAAATTGACTGTTTAAGTAAATTCTACATTTTCCAGCTCATCAGACCATTCCCATTTACTAATTTATAGCCCGGTCATATTGTGTAATAGCCTTTTCACTGAATCCCATTACGGTTTATGAATTCATCTCTTCGCTTGGAATTTTCAGGTGCATTCGCTTTACATAATAAAATTTATTTACAACCAGATCCCTAACTTGACTAATTTGGTTAATTCATTTATAGTGCGTTTCTTTATCTCTCTTTTGTGATGTAACCATCACATTAATTTATCATAATGATAATACCAACCTCATAAGAGTTTTACACTCTTAATCGTGTTTATAAAATCAGATCTCACACTTTTTCCAATACAATTAAAAACATTTCTTTTATATGCAAAAAAAAAAACTTTTTAAAAAACGACTTAACAATTAAAGTAGGCCTAACGTTTTAAAATCTTCAAGATCAAAATTGAATAGGCCTATAATCTTTATCTAGTCACTGTACATTGTGATTTACACACTACACTCTAAATGCGTGCGTGTAACTGATCTCATATTTATTTGGTTTTCCTTTTCTATACATTTAAAACATTTTTTTTATATAGCAACATAAAAAAATCCCAACCTCAACAATAAGAGTAGGTTGAAGCTTGTACAAACTGGTTTATTCAGCTGAAATGTATTTTTAAACTTAAATTGAGTTTTTAGCAATTGAATATAATGTTTAATTCTTTGAAAACAACCTAGAAGAACCAATTACTCTGTTTTCCCGTTTTTTAAATAAAACGATCCATATTTTTCCATAATACTGTATTTCATTACGTTTGCATTTTAAAAAAAAAAACGTGTTTTTCATGGAAGCCCTGTCCAGACTGTCAAACATGTTTTTTCTGCGATGGCCATCAAAAGATGCTTCGTTATGCTTACGGAAAAAATGGTAGCTACGCGCGCGCACTTTTACGCGCGCAGCACGTACGGAAGCTAGACATTACGTAATGCCCGGAACTTTCATACAAGTTTATTATAAAGTTTATGTTTGGTCTTGCTACTTTTGTTAAGGCCAGGGGTCATACAAGGTTGTTTAGGTTTGTGTGTTTTAAATTTACAATGTGCTTATTATGAATTTTATTTTTTAATTATTAAGGAATAAATCAAACGTAAACGAAGGTTTGGACTTATAAACATTTGACCAATCTTCCCCAATTATATCGCTATTTCAGGCATTCGTATCTCTAATAAATAAATTAATATGTCATCAAATGCATTTTGATTTTGATAGTTTCGTCATCAAAAATTAAAACACCAGAGTAAATAAATATTTGTATAAATATGATCAATAAGGGTTGCAGAAATAGGTGTAATCCTAGTAGGTTTTAGAGATTGTTGGATAAAATGAATGAGAAAAGAGTAGATCAAAATAATAATTAATGAAACTATGCTGTTGTGTTAAATCACTGTTTATATCACCTGTTAAATGACAGTTTTTATTTTCGGAGTTTATCTTGTTTAAAATCAAATTAATTAATTTTTTTTTTCAGTGAAGTGTTTGACATTTTCAGCAAGTGGGCGATAAATTATACCAACTATAGTATATTTTTTATGAATATGAATTATTTCAATGAAAATGATTCATATGGGAGGGAAAGTGATAAATCGTAGGCCTATCTGATTTTAACGTTAAGATTATTATGAACAAAAAAGGCTACCCCTCCCCCAATTCCAGACTGTCTTTTCTACGCGAAAAAGGAATAATTAAATGGATTTGGTTTAGTACTATTTAACCACGTCTCGGATAGACCAATTATGGGAAAGTTCAAATTTAATGAATTTAAAAATTGTTCTAAAGAATGAAGTTTGTTTGGTAAGCTTTTAATATTTAAATGAAAAAGAGAGTTTGTCATTATATAATTTGTCGAATTTATTGTCCTATCAGTTTGAAAGTATTAAACTTTCAAACTGTGGTCAATAAGGCAGTGTCCTTATAAGTATTAAGCATATTAACTGGTATAATAAATAACCATACGTAGTTTAGGCTTGGAGTTACGGGTTTTAAAATTGTAGATTTCTCTCAATGAAGTTCTCCACCTCCCTGCGTAGAATCTCAATGTTGTGCCGTTATCTTAAATGTACTACACTTCAGCTCTTTCTGCTAGATCCAACAGTTTCCAACTTTGTTAGCACGTTTGATACCTACAATACGCAGGTAATTCCGTCTAGAGAATCGTTCATTTTTATTGATAAGTTCTTTAAAGCTCACCAAGTTCTCCATTGAGCTCTTCAATTTTCTGATCCTTTGCTTTCGTTTGCAGTCTCGGTGTGTCGATGCGTTTAATAACAGACACGTTATCCGATATCATAGCGCCTAATTTTTCTTCAAGATCTGACTTGCCCTGCAATATCTCTGTAAGAGTGTTTCTAACACAAATTTCAAATTCTCTTGGGCCTGATGTCGATCCAGAGCAAGTAGACCTCTTTATGGTTGGTATACACTGAGTTTAAATTGTAAAAGGTTGTCATGCGAGCTACCTGCACGAGACACGTCCTACTCCAATAAAAGCATGACTCGGAACTGCAAAAATTAAGATGAACATGGTTGATTTCAGCATATAGACAAAATTCAACGAATATTTCAAGTAGGCCAACGAAAGTGGCTTTCTTTATGCTGTCAAGAGTGTGGACTGCAAGAGACATCACGGTATGTAAACAGTATGTGCCCTTGTGCCACGCGACACTAGGGCGAGTCGAGTGGCAGAGCGGTAAGGCAGGGGCGCTGCTAGCTACTGCCTTAACATCGGCGCAGGTTCCAGCCGCTCCTCGCCCTTTGTTCGATTTGTAGAACCAAGTCTTCTCGGATTAGGACTTGAAATGGAGGTCCAGTGTATACAGCTGGCTCATTGCATCTTTCAGAAGAGTAGGGGATTACCCCGATGGTATGGTTCATTTCAGCCCCTGTCATTGCGGAATGATGTGATCTACCATAAAGCGCCTCTTTATGGTTGCTAGGTAGTCACCGGACCACGCCCATATGCAATTCAGCACAATGACGCTGCAAGTTATGGGTTATTCTCTTACCTTTACCAGCAACGAAGTTGAAGATTTTGTAGTCTAATGTTACAGCAGTACAGTACTCCTATATGGATCTAAAACGCGCCGGACAATTAAATGCATAACACAGAAAATACAGGCTTTTATCAACAGGTGTCCGAGAAGGATTCTTAGAATATGGTGGCCTGAGAAAAATAAAGAACAAAGATCTCTGGAAAAGACAGGTCAAAAGTCAGAGCAAATTAAAATCCGTAGAAGAAAATGGGGATAGATTGGCCACACACTTGAAATACCCAGTACATCTTTCCAGAAGAGTAGGGGGATACCCCAGTGAATTGGTCCACCCACCCCTGGTACACTGGTACTATACTAGCTGGTACTGGTTTACCGGATAGCTCAGACACTGAGAGACCTTCTTAGGGCAGAAGCAAGTTAACTGTAAGGGGCAGTCCACCCGTTGCGCTTTAAGACCGTTAAGTTAATTAGAATATATATA